ATGTCTTTACTGCATGTTTGTTATTTTCTATAGTATCAGTGCCACCTATGCACAACAACAATGCCGTCCAGCTACATCGTAGAAAAGGGGAAAATAACTTTCGTTTTTAACTGAGAAGCAACGACAACGACAACTATAAATATCTATATCTTCTTTTTTTTGTTATTGTTTCACTTTTTTATCATCATCATTTTATTCTGCTCAGATCAATACACCATTGCGATCCCGCTTCTCTTTTTTTTTTGTACTCATTTTTTTTTTGCCGTATATCAGCAGCAACAAAGTTTCACCCTCCTTTCTCTTCTCTCCCTTTCTCATAAGCATTTGTCTATAACAATTAAAAAAATGAACTTTTCTCAGTCGCTCTCTTATGTTTGTTATAATCTTTATTCGATAGCAAGTGTGTGTATCGGGGATCTCTTTTCTCTTGTTTGATAAGTAAACGATTTTTCTTCTGTTGGTTTTCTCTCTTTTAAACTGTATCGCTTGTCGTTTGTCGTTGCTCCTTTTCTTGTTCGTTTAGTAGAGAGTTTATATAAGCATCATTATCATGGGATTATTATTATTACTATGTTGCTGTCTCCATGTTCGTTTGTTTATTTCAGAAATTTGTTTTTACTAAAATAAAGCAAAAATGCTGATTTTTTTTTTCTCTTTTTCACCTTATGCTTCTTTGTTTTTTTCATTTATCTGTCAAAAAAAAAATTTACTGTAGAAGGAAAAAAATGGTTGAAAAGAGAGAGAAGAAATTCAAATAAATTATATAAGTCAGTATGCAATGAAAAAGTATGGTATATATATATATATATATATATTCTGAATGCATGTAAGAAGATTTGTTTGTACATCATATAAACAAAAAAACAAGTTTTGTTCTCTGATACCAATTTATAGGTTTGTTTTCTAAATTTAAATCGATTTTCATGTTCAAAATCATTGCATATTTCCTCCGAGCACGAGTATTTCTCCTCCAAATTAAATATGAGAGTAAGCTATATATTAGATAATTATTGGTACTATCGCAATATATTAAGTTTTGCAATTCAGTATTTTCTGACAAGAACAAGATTTAACAACGTTTTGTGAACCAAAGTATTGAAATTTTCTTACGTGAAACTACTCTGATGTCTGTAAAGAATAGAAAATCTCGTACGAGATTTTTACTTGATCCTAAAAGCTATGTGTTACTTTTTTTGAAATCATATGTCCAGACTAAATTGTTTGTGTCTAAACTTTTCTTAGTCATATTCAACTATGTATCATTGCACAATTTTTTCTATTCATTTTAGAATTTAAAATGACCGACTAAATTCTATCATTAGTCTCGGTCAATTTATTTCAACATACCCAAAGATAAAATTGTAACGAGACTACTGAAGATACATTGTATATTTTTATATTTGTCACACAAAAAAAAATACCATAAAAATAAAAATTATGAGATTCCATTGATCAATGAAGTAAAACATGTACTACTCATGGATCTTTACGTAAGACGTAGTGATGTTGACGATGTAACAATTGAATAAAAGTTGTGAAATTATAATTGTTTAATGAAATGTTACAATTTGTAAAAATTATATAAAAAAAAATTGAATTGTGTCAACAAATGACAAATTGACCAGATTAGTTAAATTCTGTACTTATTTATTAAGCATGTCAAGATTCAGGTAATCGAAAGATATTAATAATCGTATACTAAAATTATTTCAGATTCTGTAGATTAATAGTCTTTTGTTCAAATAGCGATGCTTAAATGTTGGTTATTCATTTTTTTTCTCGACTATTTTGGGACAATTTTTGGAATGGAAAATACATTAACTTCCAAATAATCAATCGATACGTGATGGATATTTATTTACGGTTAATATGATTATCTTGAAAATACAGTAAAATGTTTTCATCAATTGGAAGTACGAAATAAGGCAAATTAAAATTTGATTATAAAAGTGATGAGGTTATATAATAAATCGGAATGAAGCAACAGAGGATATTTTTAAACTCTTTCACACATTCGCTTTATATTTTGAGTTGACCACATATCACCATATCTTTTATGGACGCATCTTAAAGGATTACCCAAAATTGATAGCTAATGATCCTATAATGATATCTTATTTGAAGGGTATTTTTTTGCTTTATTCTGTCCTTTTTTGATGAAACATAAACATACGGTTTTGTTGTCGTTTTTAAATTTCTATGAACCTCAGCCATTTACTATACAAATTTTAGGATTCTAATTGTAGAATTTGTATGATTAAATTTACTCTGTCAGCGCTTATCAAGTAACCGATGCGGATGTTTTTTGAAACCGTTTACATATGTTCGTGGAATTTATACTTTTAAAAAAAAACGAAATTTTTCAATCTCTCATTCCCCAAATTCTATACACTTTCTTTTGAAGAAAAAAATTAGACATTTATAGATAATCCAATATGAAATATCAGAAGTCTATAGTGCAGTGGTATTGACTATCTACAAACAGCTTAGTACTTGTATATCATCAGATGCTATGTAAACTAATTTCAACATAAACAATTTCCACCATGGTATTGTATGCTTGTTAATATATGGTCTTGGTAAACAAATATTTTAGAAAATTGATAAAACAAGACAAAATTCTCAGATAATAACGACACTGATAAATATTTGAATACGATTGGATACAATTTTAATGCCATTTCAGTATTAACTTTCATTTAGAATGATATGTTAGTGTGAGATGGATTATGGGAGAAAAAACGACGTACTAATATTTCGAAATATGAGAAAGGTGATTCACATAGTGATATAATGTTGTGTACTTTGTTTATTGATCAATGCGTATCATGCTCTAAGTCAACACGGACAAGAAGAACTAAATTCATAATCAATTGTAATAAATTATCATAAAGATATTAAGAGTGTCGTAGAATGAATAACAAAACATTTATTTTATATACACGTTATACATATCGTTTTTAAATATCTAAAACTGATAAAAGATCAAATGTATTTTTAATAAAAATGTACTAATATTAATATCAATTAATTAAAGAATAATTATTGGAAAAGTTTGTGATAATTGTTTTCTAACAATGAAATACGTATCCGAAATTAAACAGCAATAATTCAAGAGTTCATTTTTTTTTCTCTCAAGATGACAATGATATATTTACGTAATGATTCGTCCTCAGTATTTTTATGTTATTTTAATTTTTTTTAAATTTTTACTAGAAAAACAACTTAACAAGTTAAAACATCCTAAAATAAATGTTTTTAAACGTTTTTTTTCATACATTAGTGGAAGTATATTGAAAGACTCAAAGTATTTGCTGATGATTGAGATTGACACTGTCTCTATATTTATTTTTAGATGTCTGTACTACGACCAAAATTAGTGTTAATTGGTAATCGCTGCTATCGAAAAAATCCTCATTATATTCTTGGATTGAGTAGTGACCATGCAGAAGAGGAGACAATCGAAGATTTTATCAGTGATAAAAATATTGCTGATGGTGATGGAGACGAGAAGTCAACTACCACTGTTAACGATATGTATGATGATGAAACATGTTCTGTGTCAATGAGTACAACTGAATCGAATATTAAACTTTATAATGATGAAACTAATGCTAATATCTATTATAATAAAAGACAGAATGCGTACGTATGTGAATTAGATGTTTCCCAAGCATTTTTTGGTGGCATTATTGGAAAATCTGGTGAAACAAAACAACGTATTGAACAGGATACTCAAACTCACATTCAACTTCCTCGACGTAATGAATATGGTCCAATAATAGTAAAAGGATTGAATAAACAAATGGTTCAATCGGCATGTACTCGTATTCAATTGATTATTGATCGATCACGACAACAACAACCATTTACACATTTTTTATCCATACCCATTTGTATGACAAATAATTCACTTAAAGCAAAAATATTAGAATTTAAACAATTAATAATGGATCAATGTGGAACAGATCGTGGAATTAGTGATGAAATATTTCAAAATCCAAATAAATTACATTTAACTATTGGTAAAAATAAAAGATTAAATATTTTATTTTATTAATTATCTAACAAGTTATATTAATTTCATTTAGGTACATTGGTATTGATGACTGATAGTGAAGTTGAAACAGTAGCAAATGTATTATATAATTGTGAAAATACATTAGTTAAAGAATATTGTAATAATAAACCATTTGTTGTTCGAATGAAAGGTTTAGAATATATGAATGATGATCCAAGTTATGTTGATGTTTTATATTCAAAAATTGAACTTGTAGATCATTCACAACGTCTTCAATTATTTGTTGATCGTTTAAATGATATGATGTTATCAACAGGATTAATGAAACAACAATTTGAACGAATTAAATTACATGTAACAATAATGAATTCTCTTCTAAGAAAAGATCATACGGGTATTTTACAAGCACAAAAAACGACTGGAGGACGAGTCAAATTTTCAGATAGAGAATCATTTGATGCAAAAACAATATTGAGACTATTTAGTACGTATGATTTTGGTGAATTAACATTAGATGAACTACATTTATCAATAATGCATGAACCAAATAGAAAAACAGGATATTATGGATGTACACTCAAAATACCATTAAGATAAAAATAATATATACTGATTTGTTTGGATGTTGTTTTTTATTTTCAATTTTCAATTGTTATCTGCCATTTGTTTCTTGTTTTATCGTATTCTTATATTTTAAGTATTAAATTACTGGATTGTTTTCCTTCTCAACAAATTGACTTAATGATATGATTTGTGTTCATTCAGTAAATATTTTGACAGTATATATTGTTAAGTAAAACAATAGAAGTTCCTATGCCTTTTTTTGTTATATTGAATAATCAAACGTATCACATCAATAATCAATGATGAATTATTTTTGTCACCTCATTTTGAATAGCTGGTTGACTAGTTCAAGTCTGAGATGACTTGTCAACTTTAATCAACTGAATTTTCAATATTTAAAAAACTACTAAAAACTTTTGCTAACAGAAACGGTTATTTTCCTAGCTAAATTTGCGTAAAGAAATGATCAAACCTAGTAGAATATCTTGTACATTAAAAAAAGAAGAAAAATATTGATATTTTATGTTTTTATATGTACCGTTGGATAAGAGTTTCTTATTTAATGAAGAAAACTTTAACAGGAATCTCTTCCTATGTTTTTTCAAGGCGCGCAATGTTAAACAACAAGAAATCTAATTAAAAAAAATTTATTTTAATATATTTAATCAATATATGTTTTTGTTTATTTGACAATGTATTGTGGTGGTCTTTCCACACCGTTTACCTATTTTTTATATGATGATCAAATATTGAAACAGAATCCATCATTGAATAGAAAGAATTATTTAACACAATTAACTATAAGTAAAAAATTTGAAATTCATCTAAGTGGAGCAAAAATAATTTATCGATCAAATCCAACAGAAATTGTCAATTTATTAAAAGGAAAAATAAATTTGAGTATAAATGCAAATATTCACACATCGGATAGTCTAACATCAGTGTTACAACAATAAAAATTAATACAGAAAGGAGTAGAGAGAAATTGTATGTAAAGTTATCTACAAGAACTGCTTTTTTAGAAATTAAACTTAAACTTAATACGTTGGAATAAGAAAAACGTTAAATTCGATCGAAATGGAGTTTTTTCAATTGCATGTTCGATTCAATCTATAATAAAAATTTTAACCTCACTCAATACCGTCATATTCTACTATACTATACAATGGCATACAACAGAATCATTTTTTCAGCTTTTGACAGTTGTACTGTTTTGAACTGAATGTTCTAACCAACGTTTCCCGACGTTTGTTTGTAAATAAAGATTAGTAAATAGTAACTTCGAAATAATCTTGGAATATTTTTTTCGAGAGAGTACGTTTGATATGAAATTACTTCCAAGCGAATATTGAAATGATGTTGAACGAAGCTTGAATCGAATGCCACTGATAGTCTCAGAAAAATTATGTAGAATAGATACAAAAAAAGTTCATGAATTGAATAACCCATATTTTTAAACGAATAAAAACTATCAGGTGGCGTAGAATAAATTAGACTGTTTATATTTTATATAGAAATGGTGAGAAGTACTAAAGTCTTGAAACACGATTTCAGTATATTTTTGTGTAGTTTCAACTACGCTCTTTCTCGTCGTGTAGAGCGAAAATCATTTAAATCTAAATACTTGGCGCAAAGATGAATTTCTCAGCAATCAAGTGAAAATAGCAAAAGTTGTTATCTTTTTTTTTTGCCGTGAACAAAACAAAGTTTTTTTCGAAATCTTAGAGATGCGATCATAACGACTACATTTATTTTAAAAATCAATCTGAATGGATCAAGTTTGACTAAGCTTTATTTGTTTGATTGAAAGGCTCAAATTATTGGTGAAAAATCATCATTTTTTGAAAAATTGGCAAAAAATAATGAATCTTTGCGCCCTCAATTCTAACTGAAACTTATTTAAATTACACATGGAAGATAGAGCTTTTCCAGGCAGACATGATGGCTACTTCAGCTTTTCTCTCTCACAAACTTTTAGCAGATGATACAAAAAAAAATGTAAATAAGTTTATTTTTTCAACATTTTAGTATTTCTCATGGCATGCTCTTCATCAAAATCATTATCTTATTTAAGTAATTAGTTTTCCCAGAGCAAAGATCACTAGTAAATATCAGCGTCTACAAGGTATCTGTTCTAGTTAAAGTCCACCGATTAGTTTTAAATCAAAGAGAGAATTCGACACTCGGGTACAGTACGACCGGATCTGAAAAATGTTCGTTTGTTCAATCTCTTATCTTGAAAGAACCGAAAAAGTATTAGAAAGTTACACAAATCCTTTTTTCTCTGACTGATATGGAATCAAAGATTAAGCTCTATTATGATATAGTGTCACATTTTCTCTTTACTTCATCACTGCGAGCATTCTAAAACTTAATCTGACTGGAAAAACTCGTAAATCGGTCCAAAAGGCGAAAATGTTTCAAAAAAATGAAATATTGAAACATCAAATAGTTTGTATACATATTTTTATCAGTTCTGAACACATGTATAAATTTAATAATCAATTCTTTGATTTAGAGGAGAATCTTAATTTGTTTGATTTATTTTCATACACGTTTTATAAAAATGAATCAAACTTATATAATTTTTTCGTTCTCTTCTCATTTTTGAAGACAAAAGAGACGCAGCATCTCAATTCAATAAATGAATTGAGTAAATGAATATGGTATTTAATTGATGTGATTTAGAAAAATAAACTCTAAAAACCTATAAAATCAATATTTTTATCATTCATTATCATTCCAACGAATATTCAGAAATACTAGCTCTAGAGATCAATAATCATGACTTCCACATCCTCGTCGACACATACTTCATTAATATTTGAAACAAAATGGCATTCAACAGCAACAACATCGTATATTCTTCATCAACGTCCATCTTATCCACTATCTGATATATCAACAAATTGCACAACAATGAAAATATCTTCATCGACTAAAATTCTATCTTCAAATAAATTTCAAACGTCAGATGGTAGTAGTACTGAAAGTGATGAATGTGAAACAGGTGATTTATCTAGTGATGAATATCCAACACAATTGAAAGAAAATTATGATAATGAAATGTCAGATATTGCATTGTTTCTAAATGATCGAAGGCAAATAGCAGTTGGTGCTGCTCCATCAGAAAATTCTGTAAGGTAAGTGTCAAAATATACTGTTTCTTGATTTGTTGGATCATATAACATTCCACCTCTTTGTTTAGTCTTGATTTCCTTTAATAATTTTTATTTTTTAGACGTTTTCCTCATCGTCCCTCTTCATTATCCCATATTCAAAAATATTCTTCTCCATCCAAATCCAAACTTTCTTTAACCGATCACGCGAAATCGTTAATCAAAAACAAGGTTATACTTCAGAAACAACGAAGTATTCAACGTATACAATTATATGAAGATTTAAAAAAGCTTAATCACAGACGAATTCAAGTTATTGATGAATTGATTAATTTGGATGAACTGCATGAACAGAAAGTTAAACAATTATCAGAAATTTTGTAGATATTCTGTATTAAATATCTAAGTAGTTTTTTTTGCTGTGTACTGTGAATTTTTAGATTGTAAGCATTTTTTTTGTAAAGAACAGTGAGTTGTTGATAATAAAGGAAAAACCAGAAACAAAAGTGCTTGATAGCTAAAACCATGAAAAAGTTCTTAGAGAAGTTAATGACTACCCTTTAATTGATCACACTAAAGGATATTTGGAAGAATGTTGCTGGTGGCCTGCAAGGTGAAACTGGAAATTTCATACAGTTGCTGTAGTGGTGTCGGTTGACTGTCAGAAATATTGGTTCGAAGTCGATATTGAACTATGCACATGGCCCGAGATCGCTTTTTAAGCGATTTTTGATGCACGTGTATGTCTTAGTTAGACTGGGAAAAGCCTAAAAGGTTTTGGATTGCTAGATCTCCCTTGTTGAGATACGAAGTTTACAAGTTCCACAGAAGGCGAGTGTTATTATTCAGTGGCTGGATGTCTTTCATAGCACATGCAGCACATCACAAGGATGATCGTGGACAAAGTTGATTTAAATGAATTTATTTAAAAGTATAGCGAACAGCAAAGAGTACAAAGAGTACAACATACTCACTTCAGTATTGTTGCAGATCAACGTCATGCAACTTCAACCTTTAGCCCACTATCAAATGTCCACGTTTGCCACCCATGATCCGTTACAGTTGATACTTGAACGACGGTATTCGTCGGTTTCGGATCAATTTTCTACAGTTAAAGATATTTGCTTCAGTCTGGAAAAGTTGGTCTGCGAAGAACCGTTTCTCCCTTTGACAAGTGAAGCGGGTGCCGGAAAAAGTTGTTGGACATTTTTTTATTGCCTATCACTTACGCTAACTTTTTTCTAGTCTCGCCGCTCGTTTTATTTTTGTTCTGTCGCTCACTTGAATATATGATAGTATTTACTTTAACTCTGGATCAATACAGATTTTAGTATACATTCAGTAAGACTATTCTAACCTAAGTAAGTTTTGTAATGAAAATTGAAGATTTCGCCTTAGAGTTCTTTTGACAGAGTCGAAACTTGTGGTGGATATAGCAAGAGTGGAGTACAGTCCATACAAAAATTTTTGGCTCTCAAACTCTCGTCATTATGAAGAAATCAATATCTCAATGTGAAGCATAATGTCTGTGGAGAAAACTTGTAAACTTCATATCTCGGCAAGGAAGACCTAAAAATATTTCTATCTGTATAATATTCAAGAATACTTAAATTTTGTAAGATATTTCTAAGGTTCTTTGATTTTAAAAGTGGTTTCACTAACTGGTGTTAGTCTAATCTTCAAAGAATTTAACATAATTCTGCATGAGATAGATAATATGTAATTTATGGTTTATCTACTGTTCAAAAGTCTCTTATTTTGTTCTCTTAAACAGGATTCAAGAATAAAAATTGTACATTTTTTAAACTAAAAGTTGGGATTAATTTAGATGTTTTTAGACAAATGTCATCGTAAATCTTTTCGATGTCATTATACACTACGACTACTGTAATAATCATTTTTTTCAAGTATATGTGATAATGTTCTTTTTTTTCTTTTTCGCATAAGATTCGATTTGTTTATTTGTAGGATTGTATTTCATACAAAATGATACGTATACACTATGATCTTGATACTTGTTAAATTTAAAGTGAGTAGAAATAAATGAAAAATGACAGACAGCTCTTGGAAATTTAAAAAGAAAGAAATTTTAAAACAAAAAAAAACAAAACATACAATGTTGAAAAATTTTATTTAAAAGTAAAAAACCGATCTTTTTCAGAACAAATTGCAGTTTAATAAAATAGTTAGTAGTCTTTATGTTGTGTATGTATGTGTTATGTTATGTTAAATCTACATACCTAATTTTTTTTTTTTCTTCTCTCGTTACGAAAAATGAGATAAGTGAGAAGAAGAAAAGTGTTTGTATGCATTGTGTATTGACCGCATGTTATGTGATAGTCAGTGTTTTGTTTAACGATTACTTTTGATAGGTTTAGTAAACATATACACAACATTTTTTCTTCTTCAAAGAAGATTTTGTTCTTACGCACTAGGGAAAGATCTTCTTAGTCTTCGTTTAAGATGTTGAGTTATTAAATATAAGTGTTTACGTATGGTTTTTAAAACGAGAATTAAGTTTCGTTTTTTTTTTCTATAAGACATAGCTAATTACAAATTTTTGAAATGAAACAAGAATAAAAGAAATAAAAAAAGAAGTTGGCACTAGCCAAAAATAATTTTTATAAAAATATAACACAACAGGAGAACAATAAATCATTTCTTTTTTTTTTATATAACTGAATAAAGATTAAAATTATTTTTAACATACAAATCTACAAAAACACTTATGATCGTTAAAATTTAAGGTAAGAAGATAATACCCATATCCCATATGTGGTAGTTTTAGTAACAATATTGTTATTTCAACAACATTTCTGCATATGTGACTGATATTTTCGTGAAGTTATTAAACATTTGAACAGTTTACATTTCCTATATTTTTTAATAATTAATAATGATTAAGTTTTTTCAATATAATGTTCAAATATCTGCGAAAAAATTACGTATGCATCGGTATCGGTATCCATACCGAAAATACCGACTTTTTTAGATTTGGATTTTTTTTTGACTTTTTCACCTGAAATGAGATAGTTTAGCGTCATGGACAGCCAGAACACAACACAACACTCAGCTGTGCATTCCGAGCATGTGTAGATAGAAAATAAAGGAAAACTTTGGCTTTAGAAAGCTCTTGTTTTGCGTCTCTGATTCTTTCTGAGTGTCCATGACGCTAAACTATCTCATTTCAGATGAAAAAATTAAAAAAAAGTATTTTCGGTATTTTTTATCCCGATATCGGTGCTTACCTAGGCAAAATATTTTTTCCATACATCAAATGTCATTGAAGGCAGTTGAAATTCGACGTCAAACGAGTAGATAGTTAAACTCAAAGCTCGACTTAACAGTAGAGTCACATGTACAGACTTTTATTATACATTCGATTAGATACTGAGATTTTGAGATAAGTCTGTTCTAATGAAAACGTCTTTTTTAGTTGTCGATTTTTTAAACATTTTTAATGATAATGGGCAATCGAGAATGTTCTTAACTCTTTTCAACCGGATTATTTTATTTTTACACACAGATTTTATGAAGCACAACAAAAAATATTACCATCTGGCAATATCCGACTGGAAAGGGTTAAATAGAGAAGCAAAATAAAACACTTGACTTTTGTAAAGTTTCTTTTGTTCAAGTGTCGTTGAAAGGTTAACACGTTCGATTGTGATATAAATTTCTCTCATTTGTGTTCCACATTTAAAAAAGAATAACACTTTTGTAAACTAAGGGTAAACTGTAGTTGACAAAAAACTGATGTATATGTAAAGTTATATGGTTTACTAAAATTCTTCTGTTGCTTGAATAAACAATTCAAGGAAAGAGAAATCAGATACATATTTGGAAGAAGAAATTTACTAACACGATTTGTCGTTTGTCTGTTTATGCATTTATATTCTAGTATTACCTTCCATTTCAAAATAGGATGCAGTCCATTGACGTTCAAATAATTTTTTGATTAGAATGAGGTAGAGACTTGCGATTTTCATCATCTCAGGCCAAATACGACCGGTCGAAATGAGCCTACTGGACAGGAATAAGCGGGATCCTGTAGGTTCTGCTTGATTTCCTCTAGAGACCTCTATGTTTAAAATAGTTAGCATATAGATAGACAAGGATGTCAATCCTTGATAGATCGGCGCAAGTTCAACCTCTCTAATATCTATGGTTTCTGAATGGCAGTTCGATTAACTGTGATAACTACCTTAAAGATAACTCTAGATATAGTTTTTTGATCATGCCAAGTCTCATGAAAATATTTGTTTTTAGAAGAAAATTCAAGAACCTAGTAAAAACCTATGATAGATGAAACAACTCATTTGTGGTTGTCTTCAGCGAACATTAAAAACTGCTAACTCATTTGAAGTCTATTCGAACTACTCCAATATTGAAATTTTGGACACTCTAGTCTTAAAATAGACTAGAGTGTCTAGAGTATTTTAAACATATAGATCTCTAGAGGAAATAAAAAAGAATCTACTAGAACCGGATCACTCTTGTCAGACTCGATTAGATTACGCTGAATCCGACTCGTCACATTTGAGCTGGAATGATGAAAATCGCAAGTCTCTATCTCATTCTGATAAAAAAATTATCTAAACAACAATGGACTGTATTCTATTCTGAAATGAATTGTAAATGTATGCATAATCAATAATAGAAATGTTAACATATGTGGGTGGGAGTCAATATGGTCTAGTTTTTCCTAATTGTGTTGTTCTCTTTTTTATATTATAGATGATAATGATGAATCAACAAACAGATTATTTATAAACACAAACAATCACATCTAATCAAAATGGAAACACCTCCTATTTATGTGACAATAAGTTTAGTTTTTATAACAAGCGCTTTAATATTCCACTTTATTGCAATGGGATATCCCAGATGGAAGTATGTATAGGCCCATTCTGCCTATATTATTGATTCTAAATTAAATATTGATTTAGATTGATTGAACATCGTAAAAGTGATAGTTTAACTGTTCATATCGGTTTATTCGATCGTTGTGAAGATGTATTCTTCAAAAATGGTTATTTATATAATAAAACTTATCCCATATGTGATTCAAATAAGTATTTACCACCTAGTAGTCCACTTACGACAAGATTGTGTACGATAGAATACAATGATGCGCATTGTCAAAAATTATGTAATAGACTGGACAAGACTCTACCTGCATGTGATTATCTATCATTTACAAAAGGCTTAATTGCATGTACAATAGTGGCTGCTTGTACGATTGGTAAGTAGAATAGATAAAATGTCTCTGTTAGAATAAACTGTTAGAAATGGAAGAAATATTGATTAGCTTTCAATCAGATGAGCATCCCGGTTAAATACGAAACGTTTATTCTATTTTAGGCTTAGCATTGATCATGACTTATTCAAATTTATTAATAAATCCATTTAAATACAAAACTCATATAATCGTATCGTCTATCTCTTTGTTTCTATTATTTATTGGTTTTGCAGCACTTCTAACAACATTAATAATACTTGGCTCTTATATGCAACGAGATTTATTCGAATATTTATACAATTTAAGTAATCAACTACAACGAGGTATGGAGTTCTTCTTGTTTGAATTTTTTATTCTGTAGAGTTTTTTTGAGAGTTTTTTTTTCAATTTCAAGGTAACTTGAATGCAACACAAAAAGCTAATCTTGAACGATTAATTCGTAGTACAGCGACAAACGACTATGACGTACGATTAAACTGGTCATCTGGTTTAGAAATTGTCTCGTTAATAATGACAACTTTTAGTTTAATAACACAAGTATTATATTTATTCAGAACTATGAGAAGTAAAATCGGATAAATAACTTGGTATTATTTATAAATTATTGGTTTTATCATATTGATAAAAAATAAAATTTGGTACTATTCATTCATGTTTCTAAAGCTTATTTCTTTGTCTTGAATATTAGCAGTTTTTTTTTTATTAGTTCCTGTATACATATCATTCTAAAACTGTCAACTCATATATTTACTGTTTGAAATTTCTCGCAATATTAGATGCAAAAAAAATATTGAAAATGAATACATCTGTCAATGATAAAAAATTTTCAAAAACGAATAATTTTACTTTCAAAACAAACAATATCTTCTCGATGTTCAGTATTCGATTTTTTATGAAATATTTTATTTAAATCTGAAAACTGTTTCAATATGTGTTGAATATAATAAAGAATGAATCGTCTATTTTCTAATTTTCCTCAGTTAAACATCTTATTAATCTCGAATTCAAAAAAAAAAATGTCATATTTGTTTGTAACAACACTTTTCTTTTATTTTTTTACAGAAAAAAAAGGCTACATTAAAATAAACATATTGTAGAAAAACATTGTCATTGTTCATTGTCTTTTTCTTCAAACATTGATTCTTCCGTTTGTGATAGAGTTCTATGACTAGACAAGTTTTTTAATTTATGTAATGCATCAATATCAAATCGAATTTTTGCTGTGGCTAATGAGTTTATGGTTTTAATTATCCATTCTTTTATACTGAACTGATTTTAATATATTCAATACTATCAGAGATTATTGTTATTATTTTGGTAGTCGAAAACCAATAACATGCAGTGTAGTCCCGGATACTGTTGATGATAATTGTTTTGTAGTAGTAGACAATTGTGATAGTATCGATTTTTGTTGAATAGAAGAAACAATAGTGTTAGAAAATTTTTGAAATTATTAAAATCTTTTTGTATTTTAGCACAGTTTAACTTTGTTGTTAATAGAATGCATTCTTTGATTAATATAAGAATTGTTAAGATAAAAATAATTAAGAATGTTACTAAAAATAAAATTATAATAAACATTTTAAGTTTAATGACTGTTGTTTTCGTTTGAATACTAGAATTAATAAATAAAGAAGAATTAAACATCATAATAAAAGAAAAATAATATACTTAGTTTACTCTTTGATTCTTGAATTGATTCATTATGAAGACATTGTATATTGCAATTAGATTTTGAAATTTCTGAAAATGAGACGGCTCGGCAGAATGCTTATCACCTTTGAACGAAAAGTGATAGAGACATACGGTTTTCACCGATGGATAGAGAACATCGGGAGATGTAAGCGTATGCAAAAGCTAGGTTTTCAGGTAAGGTTTTGACCTTGGGTAATCCTAAAACGGGTCAAGATAGGAGTAATCGGCCACGCTGAGTCGAGTGATGCTGTTTATTTTTAGTTTCAAACCGCCCTAAAGTCACTATATCAAGATTTTCGAAATATTCGCTCTATACGCAACATAGCGGTAGAATGCTTTGATTTGAATATCTAGATATAGCGACTTTAGGTCGATCCAGGAACGGCTGCCTCGTAGACTTTGCATCGAAAGGCTTACCATGGTAAACATTATCTGGAAGCCTATTTTTTGCATACGCTTACGTCCCGCTATGTTCTCTATCCAACGGCGCAAATCGCATGTCTCCATCACTTTTCGTTCAAGTGTGATAAGCATTTCGTTTTCAGAAAAGGATAATAATTTTCTAGATACAGAGAAATTGAATTAAAAACTAATATGATCTGAGTTATAGATTTAGATAAACATTCTTCAATGAGCATGGTTTGATGTAACAATTTTTCTCTAAATTTTGATTTTAAGCTGCTGTATAAGTTAAGTTTTATATTGTCTCCTTAATTCATCCCTTTTGTTTCTTCATTTACATTGCTCCATTGATCGATATCGCACACTATGTCAAAAAACTTGACTTCTGGATTTATTGATGAACAACTGACAAATGGTTTAAATATCATGGTATTACAGAGATCATTTGAATTATTACAAAGTAATTCGACTTCATTAATCATGTAAATATTTGATAGAAATGTTATATTCGATGTATCAGATGTTTTGATAAATATAGCTGAATCTCGTGGTTTATCTTCATAGACAGTTGAACATTTAGAATCTAACGTACATGATCTTATACACATCGATGATTTGTTCGATATTGTATAACAAATACATGTATAAGAATTATCGGATTGAACGTAAAATAAAATTATTATAAATAGAAAATTATGTTGCTGTTGATAAAATCTCATCCGAAATTAATAATCGTGCTTAAAACTCAAATTTAAAAGTAGAAGAACAGTAACAAAAAACGAAATTAGTCAGTTATTTGAGTGTTTTGCACACTTGAAATTTTTTCCTTGTTTTCATAAATGAAACATTTGATCAACATTCAATGCATTAATAACTTAAAAGATGAGAATTATTAAAATAGTTTCTCAACTTGCTGAAAAACTTACACATCAGCTACCATTCGGATACTAAAAAAGAATTTTTCACGAGATCAAGAGTACTTATTTGCCATTTTAGACTTATTTTAGTTCTAAAATGGCAATCATATTCAAGATCATCAGCAGCATATTCTTAGCACTTTTTAGCCTACTATTTAGGGAGAAGTGAAACTCGAAAGTCTCAAAATATTCAATTCATAGAAAAAAATGTAAAATGTTGAAAACTGAAAAACTGGTTTAATATCTTTTATTTTTCATAGTTTGTTTATAAATAGCAGCATCCATTTAATGATTAATTATAGATGAACTAGATAAAATTTGTCAATTTTCAATTTTTTAGTAATCAAAAATACAGTGTCAAAAGTTCATTCTAGACTTAAACTATGCAGAATTTTACCTAGTTTCTAATGATGAAATTTAGAATAAATTTGTATTGTTTCTTTAAAACTTTCGAAAGTGTAAATAGCACCAGAAGCATCGTCAGGAAATAACATCTTGTAGATTGAAATTAACAAAAGTAATTTTTGAATAAAATCAACAATGATTTTTTGTAGCTGTTATGTACGCAATATTCTCTTATTTATTTTTTACTGCTCTACCATCTGGATATGTCTTGTTTACCTTCTAACCGTACTTTTTCTATTATTATACTAGATAAATTCGAACCGAGCATCTCGACGGAAAGCGCAAGGCCTTTTCTATTAGAGATGAGTAACTTCGACTCCGACGATGCGAATTTACTTAGCGGAATTGGAATTACGTTTTATTAGGTGAGAGTTGAGTTGGCTCTAAATTTTTCTCAACTTCAACTCCACAACTTCGGTTCAAAACTGTCCTAACTCTAAAATTTTTCTACTTTTTTCTTTATTATATCAAACCTATACATTCTAATACATTTCTTTTAAAGCGTGCTTCATATGAAATAAAATATGCGAATATGTGTTCAAGTGTATGTGCATCTATCGTATCTATTGTCAGGACGTATGTGTACACAATGTGTAACAAATGATCGTAGCTCAGAGTTGTAATCGGTTGAGAATTTTCAAACCGGTCCTGTCCAGCCAGTCACAGACCGATTTAAAAAACTTTCTAAACTGGCAAAACTATTAATTTTCATTAATTTTTTAAAATCAGTAGTTGTAAAAAAATTCATTTTTCTTAATTTGCACGAATTTTTACGATTCTTTCAAGAAGGGAGGTCATGTCGCAGCCGTTAAAATTCGTAAGCTCTCCGAAAGTTTAACAATTACGTTTCTTCGACTTGAAGCGAAGATCCGTTTCCTCTAGGTTTCTAGTTTTCAATTGTCTATTTATGTCGTCCAAATTTTACATAAAAAACTAATGTTTTCTGATATAAAAATAAAAACTAAAGTCTACTCTAAAATCTAGAGCCTCATTTTCTAGGTGTGTTCATTAGACATGTGTATAGACACCAAAAAGAAGAATCGAATTGAGTTGGATAAGAAGCGATATAACAACAAATAAAGCCATGTGACACTGTTTTGATTGTACTTTTTGAGGGGGAAAAACAATCTAATTAGAGAATAAAAGAGTTGAGAAGAACATTAAAAAATGACAGCTGATATTTTGGAGTGAAACTGTTTTATTGTTTTGATAAAAGCACTAAACTTGCTCTCATAAAGTTCAACTGGTGAAAAACCGGCCGCACCCGACCGATTTTGACGGACCAATTACAACTCTATCGTAGCTGATCGTTGAATGCATCTCTTTGTGGACTTATGAGGAGTTGAACTTTCGCAAATCCGAAGTTAGAGTTGAGTTGAAACTGAATGTAGCCGGCGTTGTTCATCTTTGTTTCCTATAATCTGAACTATAACAGATAATTTTGTAACATTATCTGTACCTTTTAAATCGCATACAAAATATATGTTCCCCTGACTATAGAAAGAGTCTTAAAACTTCTAAAATTTAACCATAATTTTGCTTGAAAAAATGTTTCATAGTTATGAGCTATGAGATTTTGCTTAGTTTAGATATTCGTTTTTTGTAAATAAAGAGAAAATTAAAAAAATCAAAACTCTTTAAGAAATGCACGTCTCATGTTTAAAATTGTGATGATTTTTGTGAGAACAATTATTAGCTAATTCTATTTAGGTATGTTTTATTGTAATTCAGATCATAGTCAAGGGATAGTGTGATGCATAAAGTACTTCATGTTATCTTGTTTTTAGTTACTTACACTTCATTTTCTATAAGAACAATAATTAAATTTGCTCTCTTTTATTAGACAACTAAACGTTATGATTTCTTTTATTTCATAGAGATTTATAGAGCTTGAAAAGTTGACACAGTGGGCAACCGTGTGGACATTAGGTGAAAAAACGAAAGTGGACTTTTGGCAAATTCAAATAGCGAGTCATATACTTGGGCAAACGCTCTATCTTTTTGCCATTGGAAGTTTTTTTCTAGGTGTCAGAATTAGCGACAAAATCGCCATATAAATTTTTGTGGGAAAACAGAGCGATTAAGTTAAAAAAATTATTTTCGTCAAAACAAAGTACGATTTTCGCAAAACTTATACACCGTGCGAAACTAGACCTTTGACTCTATCTATTCCTAAAAGAAACATTTTCCAGAACACTTTATCAGCGAGAAAAAAAATTTTCTTTCTACGCTAAGTGTGTTCCAAAAAGCGTACCGCAGTACAGTGGGTGCGCGAAGGTAAGCTCCAAGTTCTTAGAAAAAATTCTAAGTTTTCGTGAAAGGCTAAATTTGAGGCAGCACGGTGGTACTTGAGGCCGGTGGTTTTATATCGTTAAAAAAGAGATCTGGAGACCTACAAATAATTGTTTTATAGGTTTTCGAGTACGGTTGATTCAACGAACCTATTTAAAAAATCTAAACTGGTTTTACAAAGATTTTCTATAGACCGGATCTCTGGAAAACCCTTAAAACATGAATTTTGAACTTTGTAAGTAATTCCATTAGAAAGAGCATACTCGAAAAACCACAAAAACATATCTGAGAGATCTTTCCAGCGCTCTTAAATCCAATGTCCACATGCCTAGCTAAAATTGCGCACTGTGGTTGATTCTTTTAGTATCTAAGTGATTATTTTATGACAATGAGTAGCAGAAAGTTTGCTGTAATTAAGACTAGTTTTCATAATCGCTTTTGACGGTGTTTACAATTTTGAAAGTTTCAAATAAATAATAATAATATGTTTTAAGTCAAACATATCATTAGAAACTAGATAAAATTCTACATCGTTTAAGCCTAAGATGAGTTTTTGAAAGTGTATTTAATTACTAAAAAATTCAAATACAAAAGTGGTCCATTTTATCTAAATCATCGGTTAGTGTGAATCAAGAGTTAATTTCGTGTAGCATGCACAATAGCGCTATTTTATTCTCTTTTTATTAATATTTGATGGCAGTCTCTATTTTAATCATGTCAATTCAAACTGATTTTAATTCTTGTCTAATGATGCTCCCTCTATGTTGAACAAATGACGTGTGTACACTTCTCCATGAATATTACAAGAAAAAAGCAGTAAGGTTGTAGGGATACGAAATTTTTTTACTTCAACATCAAGATAATAAAAAAATGTGATCCTTACGTAGTTTTCAATCAGTTCTTCTAATCCGCACAAATTATAAACTCTTTTAACTGAAAGTTAATCTCTTTAACAGAATTTTAATTATTATTTTTTCGTTCTCTATCCTTTGTATGTATATATATATATATATATATATCATATAAAGCAATATGCCTTCAAGCATTACGGCAAGCATTTGTTTTCAACTTTATTTAGCTGTACGCATTGTTAATTACAATATTACCTCAAGACATCTTCAGGATGATGGATCCGAAAGGCAGAAGAGAGAAAAAAAAAAGAGAGAGACGAAATATATAATTGACATTCTTGCCTTTGAGCAATGCACGTTTTTTCTTTTTATGTTATTATTTCATGCATGTGGATCATAAATTATCAAATATTCGCACCTTTAGGCTATGCATGTCAACAGAATCTTGGTATTATATGATAGAAATAAGGTAGTAATGTCGATTTCCAACAGAAAAATGAAACCTTGTCAAATTCAAATTTATCCGTAGAGATACTTACCTAAGGGAACAAATGCTCTTTTAAAAGAAAGTAGAATTAATCTAAAATTTATTTATGTCAAAAAAAAAAAAAAAAAAGAAAAAGAAAAAAAATTAATAAAAAATACACATTTTGTTATAATCGATTATATACAGGTAGACTGGATGTAGATGAAGATGTTTTCCATCTCGATAACAAATATTCACTAAATGGTAAACAATCAAGATTATTTGCACTTGTTGCTGCTTCAATAGAAAAATTTTGTTCAAATAAACGTTGAAATATTTCTAGAGCTGTTAATTCAACAAAAGCATTTAATGGAAATCGTACAAAATGATTTTTATCTAAATATGTATGAGTAGGTGGGGATGTTGATGATGTTGATGATAATTGTATTTCAGGAAATAGATCATTGATTAAATTGACTTGACCACTTATTTTTACATTTTCAACATTTTCTGGACTGATATTAACTGATATAACTTCAACAAGATTTGTTGATGATGTTGATGGTTGTTTAAAAAGTTTTTGATGTTGTAAAAATTTTCGACGATTAATAAATGTTGATAGATCATTCATGGGTACAATTTTTGGTTTTTTCTAAATATAAACAAAAGTAAGATAGTATATTAAATTTAATTGTCATAATTTATCATTTTTACTTACTTTATTTAATTCCTCTTCAATGAGTGTAATCAATTGTTTTAATTCAAAATATTTTGCTTCTTCATAAAGTGCTTGTAATTCATTAAATTGTTCAGGAATGGCTAATGCTCCACATCGCATATAATTTAAAATATAACGAAATAATTTACCGTCTCTATCAATGAAATAATGTTGTTTTAAACTATCGAGAACAATTGGAATTTGACCATTAAATAGTTTTGATAGACGACTGTCAGGATAACGAGTGAGAGTTTCTAGGGATGATGTATAAATACTGCCACCAACATCAATATGAACGGGTGCCGTATAACGACTTGGTGTAGCCGGTCTTGGAATACCCAATGTTGAAGTTGATGGTGTAACAAACTCATTTGGTGATGAACCATTTGATAATTTATTTAATAAAATTTTTGGACTTGAACGATTGTCACTAGAAAAATATAAAATATAGAAATGTAAAAATGATAAAAAAAAAAATATAACCCGTCGATAACTTACCTGGTCATATCATGTTCTGAACGATTTTCAAATAATAATTCATCGGTAACATTTTTGGTTGTTCCATTTTGTGAATGTTTTTTTGTTGCTAATTGTCGTTTATTAATTGAGTCTGACATTATGGTAGAATCAACATTGTCATAACGTCGTTTATTGTTGCTGTTATTATTATTATTGCTGTTGTTGTTGTTGTTGTTGCTTCGATATGATATATCATGAAATGTATCTTGAGAAGGTGAATACTGTTGAAGATAAGATGAATAGGATGGTATATCTGAATTATAACCACGCGGTTCGATAGGTTCACGTTTTGGAGTTAAAATTTTATCGCGTATTCCTATTGTTGTTGATGGTGAAGAAGATGATGAGGAGGAGGATGATGTTGTGTGATGATCACCACTACCATTCATTGTTTTCTTCTTTTTATCTAAATAGAAGAAATTATTATCACATCAGGAGAATAGATAAAAGAAAAACTAATTCGACGAAAGAGTTCTTTATTATGATGTCAAGTTGATATGTCCGTTTTATTAATTCTTTCAGAATATAAAAACACTCAAAATGAGATTATCTCTAAACTAGATCTTATACTTTGACAGTATACTACAGGGAGACGCATGACAGAAGTTAAGTTTAAAATATCTGATTTTTTTTTTTTAGAAAATGTATTACTTCATCACTCCGATTAAATTTCCTTTTATAGTAAATGTTTTGCGCCATCATATTGGATCATACAAAATATTAAACAAAACTAACTAAGACATTCAAGAGAATCGAACAGAATAATTTGTAATAGTTATAAGTATCCTATATTGATAAGGAACGTGTATAAAACCTTCATTTAGGAACTATGCTTTAAACACTACATACACAGTACATGTTCTAATATCAATTGAGGCGTAACTAAGAGTAAAAAAAAAGAAAAATATATGTATTTTAACATCAATATCATGCTCGTTTCAATACCTTGTCAAAGTTTATCATATGTTATCGAATGATGTATGAATGCGGAAGAAATTGTCCGCTTCTCATCATTGAACGAACGATTAAATTGAGGTTGATTAGTGTTATATACAATGATACACAAAGAAAAATACAGCCGAATATCTAGCTTTAAAACGAGAATGGAACAATCATTATAAATAATACTTATTTTAGTTTACAGATAATCACTGGATTTTCCATATCAGAACTAGATATTTTCAGATAATTAGATGTCACAAAAAATAAAAACAACACATAATTTCTTTCCACTTATTGATTTATCTTATTTCTGCTATGTCAACCTCTATAATATTTTTTAAGAGTTTCGTTTTTTCTTTTCAAGCACTACTGACTGATCTTGTATAAGACACGAAAAAGAGATGACAAGATTTATTTACATTAGATTAGTTCGAACCCATTAAGAATTGCATGAAACTCATCCAATACTATGTTTTCTCAACATGGCTTCCCGGTTTGAGAAATGATGGTCAGATCCTTGTACTTTCATAAGTATAGTATTCAACTTCCTTAACAAATTGAAAATTAAAAAAAACAAAAATTGTCACATTTGTTCTGAGCATACTGTGATCCATAGTAGAAGGTGAAGATTCTATTACTATGGAATTTTTGAAACTCTACTTTCATCTTTTAGCTGACTAAGAAAAATATAGTGTATTGTTTTGTAACGATTGAACGAATTATAATTGAACATCAATGTTCACTTACCTGTTGCTTATTTTTTTATTTAAGTTTTGAAATTCTTCGGAAAACTACTCGTCTGGTTTGAGAAATAGGCCTTTTTTTTCTCTATTTTCTTGAAAAATTAAGGCTTGATGAAGCCGTTCTTGCTCTTTCTAGTTGGTAGAGACTGGAGAGAGTGAAAGAGAGAGAAAACGAATCTTATATAGATGTATGTATGTACGTACGTATAATACATATAGCCCGAAGGTAATCGTTAGAATGAAGAACAAATACATACACATACACATAGAGAGAGAGAGAGAAATGTTGTGGTTACTGTTTGTGCAATTATATACCATGAAGGGTTTGAAAGCCGCTCAACTATCTCTCTTCAACGATTTTCTTTTTTACCTTTTTTATGTATGCTCTGTTGTTATTATTAATTCTTATTATTTTTAGTTGTAGATGAAGATTAGCCAGCTAACGAATTTATGACATCACGATTATGGTCAAATAAGCATCGAACATTCCATTTTTTGCCATCAAGAAAGCCTAAAGCTCGTTTTTCTCATTTCTTTCTTATTATTTAGAACTTTCACATATGCAGATTAGTTTGCCTTTGGCGTCACCTCAAACTTCGAAATTTTTTTTCTATGCATCGGGACTTTTATATCTTTTTTTTTTTCAACAAAAATTGCTTTTTCCTCATTTCTTCTTGCGCATAGAGATCGATATAGCGAATAAGATGTGTATAATGCTTCTGGATATATATGGAAGAAGACGAAGAGAGACAGAAAGAAAAATATGCACATTTGAAATAGCCTTAAGCAATCTCAACAACTAAAAAGAGAACGAAGAAAAGCAGTTTTCATTCATCGCTAATGAAAGACAGAGAAACGAGTCCAAATCAACGACAAAGAAATCTCGTAGTCCAAAACCTTTAGATTAGTCCAATCTACTATTACATAATGTGTTTTTAAATATACTTAGACAAAATAGATTTTAAAATAAAAGTACAGTCAAATCAATTTACAAAATGACGACATAGTGATTTTTGTTTTTTGAAAATATATAACACCAGTTATCCAGTTTAAACTTCTTACATGAACTTCATTATAAATTGAGTATAAATATATGATGATAAACCAGTTCAGCTACGATATTTTTTGATTTTCTTAATAAATTCTGCATAAATGTTATTAATCAAAATTTGATTTTGTTAACTTAAACTGTTACTGAAATACGGCCAAAACTGATTTCATAGAAGAATGTGTTATCAGTTAAAACTTTTTCAAAGAAATTATTTACCTTTTGACTACAAAACTGTCTCTATAAACACCTTTGAATAATGTACTCGTGCTAAGAGAATTAATAGTTCAATTTGACCAGCTAACTCTCCTAATGGAGTGAAATTCCGTAACGATTTTTTTGCATTTTGTTTCTCTTATAATGTTCGAGTGATGGGACTCCTAGAGATCTTGAACGTCTTAGATTAAAGAGAAAAGTGTGCTAAATATTCTTAGATGTTCCCATAGTGTCTACACGTTCTTTCATTTAGAAACTATGATAAAAATACAAACACCTACTTTTCCAAAATTATCCGAAAGATCGCATAACATTACGGATTTTAGACAATAAAATTGAAAAATAATGAAATTTCATTTATAGTTGACATGAAAATATTTTGCATTTAAACATCTTTAAATACTTTTCTAGTTTCGAATTTTGTTCTATTTGTCTTACATATTTAGTCATATTTTTTGTTCTATTTGTCTTACAATAGTCTTACACAGACATTTTACTCACAGACACAATATTTATTATTTTAGAAACTTTGTTTGCTCAATTGAACAGGAGCCATCTAATAATGAATCGTACTGATTTAATAGTTCTTTATTCAATGTTACATAGTTCAGTGACACCTGAGATATTAGCATGCAATTCATCAATAAATCATTGAAGAGTTTAAAAGTATTTTCTAAAAGTCCAAACGGTTATAAATAGTTGTAAATCAGTTTATCACTAATTATTTATAAATATTTGATGTAGAAATTGCTTGACACTTATCTAATGGTCAAAAATAAAATGACTTTAAAATTCTTTATAACTCATTGTATTTTAATTTCTTTGGTGCAATAAACCTTTTCAAATATTTTCGTGGTAGATTTATTTTTGTTATTATTTTCGTGTTGCAAGACAAAACAAAACTGTCATTTTTTGTGTGTTGATATCTTCTGTCCCATTTGATCACAAGATATTTATTATAAACTTAAATAATAGAAATAAATGGGCACAATTATCGAATTATCTTTTTTTGTACTGTTGCAAACACATTTGTATTTTAAAATCATTTCTTTCCAATCTGTCCTGTGATAAGACTATACTGTAAAGTCGGGTGATCGATGTCGATTTTCCACATTATTTGGAATTATTTATAGAAAATTCTCAGCAAATCCTCAGCAACCAACTACATCTTTGGAAGATGCTAAATTCAGACATAAAAATGAGGAATATTAACAAGAAAGAATTGCTTTGCGACCTTCAGAAAGTTGCGGCGGAACTCGACTTTGTCTTAATCAGGCCTAACCCAAGAATCTTTTCAGTACCTCTTTGTGATCTCTGAGTATCATACAACAATAATAGTTCTCGAAGAATATGCTGATTCGCAAAAACTGAGAGAACTTTCAAAATCTGCTAACATGTCCGATGTTAAATACTAAAAGGAGCAGAGATCTGTTACAGGATAACTTGTTGCAATGAAGGCTTCGCTAGATGTGAAAAAAGCAAGAAAAGAACCACCGATTCGTCTTCTTAGAAAATCGAATTCGATTTTCCAACTATTTAGAAAATGGCTGTCGAGTTTCAAGAATGTTGGGATTTATTTCTATAAAATCGAATTTGATTTTCTAGAATCTGAAAAATCGAGTCAGTTTTCTGCAATGTTGGAAATTATTTAGAAAATCAATCGATTTTCTAAAAATTAGAAAATCGCTGTCGATTTTCCAACTTTTTAGAAATTCCTTATCGATTTTCTGGCAAATGAGAAAAGTCAATTCATAGAAAACGAGCGGATTTTCTATAAAGTAGAAAGTAATTCCAAATTACAGTGTGCACAGTGGGACGAGTATGAGTTTTTGGAAGAGTGTAGGTAAACATTCATTTAGAAGATTTTTAAGAAAAACTGAACCTGCATTTTACTTTACTTCACGTGCAACACTTAGAGAGTCCTGCCACTGGTGTGCATATAAAAACTGAACCAATAGAGC